TATATATCAGATTATATTCATATATTATATGAGAATGCATCATCTGAGCAAAGAAGATAGTTTTAAATTTTCTGACTGTAGCAAAAATCGCAGTTTTATGAAGTCACCATTGGTGCAGAGGTGAGGCAGATGCTGTTTTGTGTCTCTATATCTCTGTTTTTGCATGTTCCTAAGTATTAATTTACACTGAAGCAAAGCTGTTATGTGGCCAAATAGTTTACAAGCTTAAATGACCTTGAAAACTCAAATGAAATGAAAACATTGTGCCATGGAGGGAAAGTAAATCATAAGGCGGTGCAGGCCTTTCTCAGGCAATGCGACTGTGAAGATCCAGCCATAATTCAATATGAGTATCACTAAAGATCCCTTTGAGGGAACCAAGATGGAAAATAACCACATGAAATGGCAGTCAAAGAGCAATTTATAGCTTTTGTTTCAAATTAGAGATACAAAGGCTATGCATTCTGATTGAAACGAGGGACGTGGCATAATGTCATCTGGATAGAAATACAGTTTTACTAGCGTTATGCATATTAACGAAGACCGAAGTCCTCCACGTGTCCTTTTTTTCTGAAAAGCTAGCTATTTTCCCTGCAAACTGCCTTTCTGTCATTTTTCTGTAGCTTGCAACCTTAATATCAATGTACCTCTTGGCCTCAAAAGGCCAAACAGTGTCGTCTCTGTGGGACACACAAGGCCATAGGCTAGTTTAAATAATGAGATAAATATATTTTGTGTAAAATGACTTGGGTCCTAATTACTTGTGGGCAACTGTGAGCTTATTTTTTCCCTGTATTTAAGTAGTTAAGACTTCAGTAATACCAATGCGTCTGTTTTCATGTCAGCAAGAACTTAGCTAATTAGAAACTGCAGTTTTTGGAGGTTCACTGTTACCTAATTGGGAGTCTAATTAGCACCATTTGATTTAGTCGACGTGGAAACTTCAGCAAGGGGCATCTGACACCTCCCAATCCCAAATGATCCAGAGTTGCCACTCACACGAAGTTGACGTCTTTTCCTCTCTCAGCTAAATGGCTGGTTGCTTTGGTGCAAAATACATGTTACATCCATATAGAGTGCTTATGCTGTGTATTTACGGATCAGCGGGTGTCATTCATTTCTACCTGTGGTGTTTGCTTTCATCTGAAGATGATACAGAAGTAAATTGCTCATGATGGAAACCATATACAGGTCAGATATATGATCTTTGTCTCCTTTGCCCTTTCGCCATCTCCCAGAGAGACAGATTGACAGAGAGAGATTTTACAATAGCGTTGTATGGTTTTCATCTCTAGATAGGCTGCTTTGATTTAGTAGTGCAAGACCACAATCATCCACACACGCGCATTTTACGGCTGTCATACTGACGACAGGCAAGCTTTGATTTAGAAGAACCGAAGTGAGAATTTAAAGATACATCTCAACAGAAAAGGGGGCCTGAATCAACGGGGAGGGGAGCAAAATCAGGAGAAAATGCACATGGGAGCGTGAGATAACCATTTTTGGAGTGTGTGTTGTTTGTTTGACATGCCTGAAAGCAATTGTGACAAACTTCCCCAGACAGGCCAACATCAACACACTTGAGATCTGAGAAAGGCCCCGCATTCGAAATGATCAAAGCGAGCAATTTATGCAAAAGATAAAACGCAAATAAATAAATGAAGCTTTAATGTAAGACCTCAATGAATGGCCAGTATAGAGAACGCTGTCTGTTAGCATCTTTTTTTAACCTGATGCTGTAGTTATGACATCCACCAGCAGGGGCTGACTGAAATGTTAATATTTTTACTGAATAATTTAGATACTTAATAATTTATTATTCACCAAGGATGCATTAAATCAATCAAAAGTGACAGTAAAGACATTTATAATATGACAAATTATTTTGATTTAAAATAAATGCTGCTCTTTTGATCCTTCTGTTCATCAAAGAAATAAAGTGTATCACGGTTCTCACAAAAATATTAAACCGCACAGCTGTTTCCAACATTGATGATAATAAGAAATGTTTATTGAGCACACAATCAACATTACACTGAGTTCTGAAGGATCATGTGACACTGAAGACTGCAGAAAATTCAGCTTTGCCATCAAAGGAATAAATTACATTTTAAAATATATTAAAATAGAAAAATTGTTATATTTCACATTATTACTGTTTTTACTGTATTTTTATCAAATGAATGCAGCTTTGCTGAGCATAAGAGACTTCTTTCAAAAACATAAAAAAATCTTACCAACCCAAAACTTTAAGTAAAAAAAAATATATATATACAAAATAAAACAAAAATAGAAATACATATAGAATATAAATAGAATAACCAGCCAAACCTTGACCCCTTAGTTTTGTCTAATTCAAGAGGCCTTGTCATACTTTACAAATCAGATGCATTTAAAAAAAAAAACATTCTACTTTTCTGTTTCTCTTTCCTCAGCCGTTGGACTATGAGACCAAAAAAGCATATACATTTAAAGTGGAGGCCTCCAATGCACACCTGGATCCACGGTTCCACAATTTCGGCCCGTTCAAAGACACAGCAACAGTGAAAATAAACATTCTGGACGTGGATGAGCCTCCCGTCTTCAGCAAACCCTCCTACGCGATGGATGTTTATGAGGACACGCCACAAGGCACCATCATAGGAGCCGTGACAGCACAGGATCTCGATGCAGGAAACAGTCCAGTCAGGTATTCAAACACAACACATATAAACGGATAAGACTAGGGACTGGTAACCGGATGGTTGTTAGTTCAGTCCATGCAAGAAGCAAGCTATCACCATTGTGCCTTTGAACATCATATTTAGAGGATTATTTACACACCCTCATGTTGTACCAGGCTTTTTTTTTTCCATGGAAAAAAATTGGTCGTATGCAGATAAATAAATAGTATATTTTTTATTTTAAAATGTATTTTTTTTATTTTAAAAATATCTATCTATCTATCTATCTATCTATCTATCTATCTATATATCTATCTATCTATCTATACTGTATATGCATACATAAATACATACAGTGTGTATATATAATTAAAAAAAATATATATATTTTTATTTTTAATAAATTATAATTTTTTCATTTTATTTTATAAAAAAAAAGATGCATGCAAAACTTTCCATCTCACACATCGCTATATATATGTGCACACTAAAAACTGTCGGTAAAAACAGCAACATGCTGAAAGATTTACCTTGTTTTATAATCCATTATGTTTTTGAATTGCACTTCTCAAGATTGCTTTTCAAGTTTTACAAGAAGACAAACCATTGATGCACCACTGCGGGGTCCCAAAACTACCTAACATCACAAGTTAGTTAGTTTCTCTATGAATATTTCATTAAGTATACTGTAAGAAAGCAAAATGGACAAAGGAAAGATTTGTATTAGTGAAAGGGATTTGTTTCCTTTTTGTTTTGGCCTTTCCTGATGAATTATTTAGAAACATTGTGACATTGCTCAATGGGGATGTGCACTTTCTCACTGGAAAACAATGGTCCCCAATGGTCTTCCGTGCAAAGCGAACAAAGCTTTTAAAATACGTCTATACACACCACATGTCCACAACTTTGCAGTCCGCAGAGTGAATGCAGGAGACAAAATAGCTAAAGTGCTTTTTGGGATCGAAGGTTTCTAAGACTTCCTCCAAAGCTTTTTAAGTTTTCTCCAAGCTTCAGGGGTTAAGAAAAGAGCTGCAGAGAGATCAGAAATGGATGGACTTATGAAAACTGTCAATTTGTCCGAAGCTGTGTTGTTCATGTACCATATGTTCACTAAACGGAACGTTTCTTGAGGTAAACCACCCAAAGAAGAGGTCAGAGCCCCACAGTGAGCAAAATGGACTGAAATGAGGAATGGTACAGTAAATCACATTTACATTTCTTCATTTATAAGAAGCTTTTACCCAAAGTGACTGACAAATGAGGAAATACAACATAAGAGATTCATTCTAAGGAGGCATTTACATTGATCAGAGAAGTACAGAGTAGAACCAAGATGACGGCGAGAAATACTGAAGGAAAAGTCAAAAATGCTATATATGGGGGGTGCATAAACAGATTAAGGTCATCATGAAATCAAAATTGACCGTCCTATCATTTTTAATGTTTGCATAATTCATCAGTGTTTTTCCAAAAATAAATCAAATGTTTCTTTGAAAACTTCTAGCAAAATATGCTTTTTTTTTCTTGTAGAATTGCGCTTGTAAATGCATCATATTATGAAAGTAAAATGGATTTTGAACAGCATTTCATGTTGATTTTAGATCAATTTGTCCTTATGAATGTTTGTTTTTAACATGCTCAGCTTTTCCACTGGGATATTTATCTCATTACACATTTAGATCTCGGGCCCAGCAAAGCTGCAATTTCAGCTAAATCAACCAACAGCTCTTGATTTCTTTTTCCAAATACTTATTAATGTTTCCTCTGTGAGTTAACATTTGAATATACTGACACTGCACTGATTGCATGACCCCTGATTACAGATTAATAACAGTTAATTAGAGGTAAAATTCAGGAGATACACAGTTATTTCACTGACTCTCACATCCTCCTACAGGAATAGAATAGAGTTTTGTTAGTTGTTTAAATAGGACAAATTTGATGTTCTGCTTCATCTCTCCGCACAGCCAAGGGTCTGTCGAGCCGGTCTCCAACTACTTTCTACAATGAATAATTTGTTCATCAGTCTGTTTGTTTTGTAATCTAGTAGTCTTGTAAAGATTAATGAAGCAGCATATTGAAATTCTGTTTGAAGCTTTTTTTCGTTTGGCAGCAGCATTTGCTGTTTAAAAATGTGAAATATAGGCCTATATATATATATATATATAAGGCTTTGCTCAGATAAATTAAGTTAATCATGAGCTAATTATTGGAAATCAACCAGAACATTTGTGGCTCTCGGAAAAAAAAAAAAAACAACAACACAGATTTAAACAAAATTGCAACCAATACTGCCCTGATAGAACATTAAATAGAATATGAAGATTCTATTTGAAATATAAAAAAAGGTTGCATGCACTGCCCTCTAATCTTGTTTGAACTTCATATTAAATATTAGACTTTCAAAAGCAGCTTATGATGACAATGCCAGAACATTTGAGTCTTTCTTCTTTCTCATACATGATGCCACATGACTCTGAGCGTTCTTAGAAATATTTTCTTTTCCCAAATGTTTCATGTTTTTAAATGTGCTATATTAACACAAATTGAGGAGTTGGTTATATGAATTACATTCCCACAGCTGCGGTCTCTGTATATTATTTATGATGATTATTATGGAGGATCAGGCCTCCTAACGCTTGTGGATCAGCATCAAAGGCTTTTGTTGAGAATCCAATGCAAATGCAGAAAATCCGCAGATGTTTTTTGTTGACCACCTTTTGAGTGAATTTAACAAGGCAGCCGCTGAAATGTGGAAAATATAAACACCGTAGCATCTCACCTCGCCCATCGCTCCCACTTTATTTCTCTTTGCTCAATTCTAGGTCGAGCCACAAATAAATAAATAAGTTCAGCCTGCATTAATGCGTCCAAAATTCAGAACAGGTTTGTAAAAGTGTTTGTGAGAGAATGAGTCCAAAGCATCAAGTAGAATGTTGAAGGTCAATAAAAACTTAATTAATTCAAATTCATGCATACTGGGGTGCGACAGCAACATAGTGTTGGCCCAGATCCGGCCCACATCTGGCCCATGTGAAATCCATGCGGGCCAGATGTGGGCCGGATCTGGGCCGAAACTGTCTGCTGTCTGGGAAGTCACACCGAGACACATGTAAAGTACCCCCTGAGAATGGTTGCGGGGTCCGTTAACAAGGTTGCCATTACACCGATGTTCACAGCTGTTCAAAACTGGACCCACACATAGCAATTCACTAGAGTGCACAATTGTTTTTTTTTCTGGTTCTTCAGGTATTCCATCGACTGGAAGAGTGACCTGGACAGCTTCTTCGACATCGATCCTGTCAGAGGAACCATCTCCACCAATGAGCTTCTGGACAGGGAGAGTATAGCCCAGCACAACATTTCAGTTGTGGCCACTAAAGTTAGTAAGTATGGCTGTGAACCTCAGAAGTGATTCATAAAAGTTCAGTTGTCTTAAATGCTGGGATTTTTTGCGATCTGATTTACGGTGGCCCATCGCAGCGCAGTCAGCAGCGAATTCCATTAAGTCTGCTTTTTACGAGCATTCATAAAATATGACGATTCTCCGGGAATATGTATCATTACTACAGTGTCTTTCCTTTCTCCTTGACTTGAATTGAACTGAATTTAACAACTGATGTATTTTTATTTTTAAACTGCTGGTTAATGAATTGTTCTTTGCCATCATTGTGGTCATTTATAGAAGACTCTGTCTCATGTCTTCCAGAACAACAATTATAAAACCAAATCTTTGTTTTAAAGTCAATTGCAAATATTTTTTGTCTGTAATATGTCCATAATTACTCTTTCATATTATATTATACATTATTCACCCTTTGTCCATCTATCTATCTATCTATCTATCTATCTATCTATCTATCTATCTATCTATCTATCTATCTATCTATCTATCTGTCTGTCTATAACTATTGGCTACAATTGAAGTGTCTAAAAGGGATTTGTTGATGTTATTCAAAAATTTAAGTTACTGAAATATATATATACAGTATATGTATGTATGCAAATGTAATATATATATATATATATATAATTTTTATTTCACATTTAATATCCAATTTTATGGAAAATAAGACATTTTCCTAATGTTTGCCACATAAGAAAAAAAAATCACGCTTTGGTAAATCATAATAAAATCAGAATTCTGAGATAAAAATTAAAAATTATGACATACTAAGTGAAAATTATGACATAAGTTGACATTATTCATATACATGTCATAATTCCCATTATGTATTTTGTAATTACGACTTAATTTAATTTAATCATTATTATCAATTTAATAATTAAACAATCCCAATTTTTCGTCAATTTCGTCTTTATCTGATAATTACAATTTAGAAGTCATAATTTCAATTTTTTTTTTTTTTTACATTTTGTCATAATTTCCACTTTTATTTAATAATTATGACTTATCTCATAATTTTAGCTTTTTGGTGTAATAATTCTACTTCTTAATTCATAATTCTGATTTACCAGATAATTATTATTTATTCTCTTATTTGGCTGAAATGCACTTCCAAACATTTCATTTAGAAAACTGTCAGATTATGGGGGGGGGGAGTGTTTTTACAAACTGCATTTCATATTGACTATTTTAGGAAGTAATTTGAAAGGAGATCAAAGGCCAGCGTCAAAGATGTCATCGCTGTAATTGCTTTTGTGTCGGAAAAGATCTGTGGATTGAATCACCACGTAAATAAGCAAATCCATCGTCATCAAGTAATCAAATCTGCCGAGAAATCCCCAACGCCATTATCTTAGAGGATATGTGGTGCTCAATCAAAATTACAAAAGCGGCGACACATTCATTAAGACGGAATGGGGATGAGAGGTCATTGAAAGTTGAGCCTTCATCACCATGGTAACGGTTATTACTCACTGCCTCTCAAGGTTGCACTGGTGATATGCTAATTGTGATTTCTAAAGCTAATTTGGGTGAGACTTAACACAAGTCAGGGCTGTTAAACTTCACTCCTGTACTGCAATGGGAATTGTCCACCCTGTGTTAGAAGCTCCATTTTTATTCATATTGTATTCACTATCTGTGTATTTTAGACAGTTTTGCATTCTGTTCCATTGACCCAGATGGATTCAGAGAAATCACAGAAGCACATAGTCTGATAAACTAGGCCATCTCTGCTATTTTTGACTTTGAGTTTCAAGGTTTTAATTAAGAATTAATATATATACTGGGAAAAGTGGTATCGGTGCATCCCTAATATATGTATAATATTTATTTATTATTATTATTTTTATTTGTTTTACCTTTGCAACATAATATCTCACAACTGTGACTGTATATTTCATATTTTAAACTTTTCAGGCATCCCAGTAGTTGTTTATTTTAATATGTAGTTTTGCATGTTCCTGAAGTTAGTCAAAACTTTCTTGCCCACTTTGACCATTTGTAGTTGCTAACTATATGAGCACAAAAGTATTGAACAAGCCATTTTGCTGTCCTACAGCTTATAAACGCTCATATCACCAGTGTGCCATGTGCAATATCCTTACTAGCATTATACAGTGTCTTGTAAAACATGCTTGATAGCTTTTATATCTCTCAGAACCAGTGATTATGAGGTGAACACCTGTTCAACACCATCACAAGCTAGTCTTGCATAAATCGCAGCGTCTTGTTATTCTTTTTTTCTCTCTCTCTCTCTTTCTCCCCTCTCCTGTGTTTTTTAGGGGCGTTACTTTCACACCAGGTGGAATTCCAGATGTTCTGTAGCCTCAGAATCATATTGTAGTAAATATGAAAGTGCTGAAGGAAGCATGAGTCAGCACACAGTCTCCAAACTCTCCACGCTTGTTGCACATCATGAAAACTTCTGCTTTTAGTTTCCATTAGGACAGCAAACATATGGATACACTTGATTTTCATAATCCCTTCTGTGACGCTCATTACAATAGAGTCAGCTAAGGAAAACCTATTTTACAATACAGTTAGAACCAATATGTTTTACAAAATGTGTTAAGCAGACATAATTATTTGCTCTGTTTACACCTTGTACAGTACCAGTAAACAGGGCCACAGTCAAAACTGGAATGAAGCACAATTGTTTTGATCTAAATAAGACCTTTTATATGTGTGATTAGAGCACTTTCATTCGTTTGAAGCCAGGTCAACAATAACCATTAAAAGCACAAACAAAAACATCACAAAGATAAATGTACTGTTTTTCTGTCATAAGATCTAGCGTACTACAGCTAAATGGACGATTTCTCCCTTATACAACAGCGCCATCTAGTGGCAAAATCCGTCATTCAAGTCGTTAAGTTGAAGCCATAGTTGGCTAAACTTATAAACTGTTGTTGTTGTTGTTTTAATAAAAAAGCTCACTAGATTTGTGTAGCATTCTGCAACAGTTTATAATTTTCATATTAACCTTGATGCATTAATTATTCAATCTTAAAACATAAATATAATAATATTTTAAAGTGTATTTTGAATGTGTTTGTCTACTACATTTGTCCACTTCAATAGAATTTCGTCACTTTTATGAGAATGTTGAGCTTTTTAATTTAAAACGTATTTCAATTAAACTTAAAGATTATTGTTAAAATAAAAAAATATTAATATAGTTTAAATATAGTCGTATATATAGTTTAAATGGCATTTAAAAGATGCCAATGATATTAAATTGTGGTTGTGGGTCAAAGGTAGTTTGGGTCACATCCTGAGTTGTTAACAAAAAATATTATTATTAAAATTATTATCATGACATATTGAAATATGTTAAATGTATACAATTAGAAAATTATAAATGTCGCCATATATTCAGTATTTTGGTTATCTGAATATATCAAATATGTTTTTGGACTTGGTTTGAAAATACAAATGAATTGCATTTAACTTTTAGTTAGCCGGAACTTAAAAAAAAAAAAAAAAAACTCCAACAGTGGCTATTCAAAAAGTAATTTGCTGCAGGACACTTGGGGCAGAAGCACAGGACCTGGAGAATGATGATGTGTCAGATCTCAGATAAATTGTAGCAACGATATTTTTTTTTACTGGACATCAGAAACCCTGGAGCTCCTGAAGCTAAAGTAACAAACAGTTGCACACACACACACACACACACTTTCTCTCCAGGAAGATTGCTCATCTTCATCAAGGTCGCTCACGGGTCTTGGCTCTACACGGGACCCCTGGGAGGGATGAGTTCAGATCCCTCGTTCTAAGCCTTCTCACCTTCTCCTCAGACATGCTGAGCCCATCTCATGGATCTGATCTATAAAAGTTTATTCCACACTGATGTTCACCTCCACACTGCACGCTCAAGCAGAATTCAAACAATATCAGGAAGACGTGTTCGAAAATCAACAGCTGTGTCAGAGAGGACACAGCTGACCTTGTGTGTCTGCTAGAAGCATCTTATTTTTAGACAGATTTTTAGCTTATTTTCTTACCCACTTAAAAAGCCTTCTTTTTATGTAGTTTTAAGAATAGAATAGAATAGAAAATAACTATTTATTTGCAGACTGTGAGTCATATTTAAAGCCCCTTTAGGTTTTCAGTGTAAAACCACATGATGGCAGTATAGTATGTTAGTGGTTTAGAACATAACGTTCAAATCAGTACTCTTGGTTCCTCAACAGAAAGCTAATGTGATAAACCAGCTATGTAATTATTGTAGTAAATAATTGTGGAGTTATTAATGTGACAAGGTCAATTCAATCCCAATTCTAGCAGTTCTTAAATCATACCAAACTGAACCATTTAAAAATGTATATAGGTGAGTCTTTTCTAGTCATTTGATTTGGATATTTGGCTGCTTGAAATGTTTTCAGATGGGAACTTCTTCGAACTGCACTAACCATTCAAAAGTTTGGGGTCAATAAAATGTTTTAATGTTTTTGAAAGAAGTTTCTCAGCAAGGCTGTATTTATTTGATTAAAGGTTAATTAAAAACAGTAGTATTCTAAAATGTTATTGCAATTTAAACTAACTGTTTTCTATTTGAATATATTTTAAAACTGTAATTTATTCCTGCGATTAAAGCTGAATTTTCAGCATCATTGCTCCAGTTTTCAGTGTCACATGATCCTTCAGAAATCATTCTAAAATGCTGATTTGCTGCTAAAGAAACATTTCTTATTATCACTTTTATTAAGATTCTGTGGAATAGAAAGTTTAAAAAGCACATCATTTATTTGGAATAGAAACACTATAAATGTCTTTACTGTCTCTTTTTTAATGAATCCTTGCTGAATAAAAAAGAACAACAAATAACAAAACCAAAAAAAAACTTTTTAAATTACTATTAATTAATTAATTAGTTTAAAAAATATATTTAAAACATATTATTTATAACATATTATGTTATAAGTTATTATTTTATAAGTCTATCATTTTGGTTTAATGCATGATGCTTATTGTGAGTATTGTGTATGATGATAATGATACATTCTGGAAATGAAAAACTGTTAAATGTCTGACTTTATAGTTAACAGACATGCCAGATTAATTCGTTTTTAGAAAAAGAATAAATGGTTTCAAATTCTTTAAAATCATCCTAAGGGACAGAAAAGTTTCCATAACTGAAGAACAAGAGTAAACTTGTGCATTGTAACGTGTGTGTGCTGTTGGTCATAATATGTGGTGTTTGTGTGGTTTGTGTAGATAACCCAGTGCTGACCAGTAGAGTGGCCGTCACAGTTCATGTGCTGGACATTAATGAGTTTCCACCAGAGCTGGCCATGCCTTACGAAAGACTAGTTAGGTACGCAGGAGCTAAGCCATTAGTTACTTATAGGTAAGTAATAATATTTTGTAACTGATACGGAAATGAATAGGTAGCCAGTGCAGAGACTGTAAAATTGGGGTAATATAAACATATTTTCTTGACCTGGTAAGGACTGCATTTTGGACTACCTGTAGCTTGTTTATTGAAGATGCAGGACAACCACCTAGCAGTGCTAGCAGTGAGGTCATGAATGCATGAACTAGCTTTTCTGCATCAGAAACAGGTAACATGTTCCATAACTTTGCATAATCGATCTATGAGTATGTCATGATCTATAGTGTCGAACGCAGCACTAAGATCAAGTAAAACTAGTAATGAGATAAAACTAGAAATGCTAATGTGTTTGTAGTGAATTTCTAGAGTATTGCTAGATGTTTGTTTTATTTTATTTTATTTTCACAGTCCTGCTTCACTAGGTGCCAGGAAGGAGAACAAAAAAAAAAAAAAACGTATGCAGTTGCTAAGGTGTTTGGAGTGGTATCTAGGGTGTTGCTAGGGCGTTTTTATTATTTTATTTTACATTTTATTTTATTTTGTTTTAGTATTTTTACACTCCCACTTCACTAGTTGCCAAGAAGGGGAAGGGAAAAAAGGGTGTTCAGAGTGGTATCTAGGGTGTTGCTAAGGTGTTTTTATTATTTTTATTTTATTTTATTTTTGTATATATTATTTTCACTGTCCTGTTTCACTAGGTACCTGGTACTTATATATGCAATGTGTTATCATTTATTTATTTTCTGGTATAAAACCTTTTTCTTAGTTTAAAGCCTTTTTTGTTGTTGTTGTTGTTTGAATGGATATGACACTTCTGGCCAGAACTGTGTGGTTTGATTAAAACATTGGACAGGAAGAGCCTGGTGGGTAAGTGATGCATTAGTGTTGCGCTAATGGTCCTACCCAGCATGCACCTGTGGCGCTGGTGAAAGCCCTACAACAGGTGACGCCAGTGGGAGGGTGGGCAGTGTGGACGTCTGTTAGCCACGGAAGATCGATCTGCTTGTAATGGTAGTGCACAGTGTATCATGATTGCTGGATGTGAAAGCAGACTAATTGGTTTTAGATGCAGAATCGAGAAGAAAAACCACAGGAGCACTTGAATAAACATTACTGAGCACATATTGCCACTTATCTTCATGCACTTGTGACTAGTTTCTAACTCATGTTTCATTTAATGTTGTGAGTGTAATTGTTTCATGTACATAAAGCACTGTAAAGTGGATTGTTTTTCTTCTAAGGAATATACTGTATTATATGGCTGAATATCTCCATTAATTAAGAGCAAACGCTGACTCTGACTAATGAGTTTTCTATACTAATGTTTATTTTATTTTATTTTTAAGATATGATTAATTTCAGTTAATAATGTATACTTTTTAAATATAATTTATTATATTCCTGTGTGCACTAATAACCTTCATAAATAATTTAGAAATGTCATAAACATTAATGTTCACCATAAAATATTTAAACAAGCGATTAACCATTAAAAGATGAGTTATTTAGTGAGTACTTTAGGTTTTAAATTTTTAGACACATTCTGGGTGTCCAGCAGTGATCAAATATACCACCAGAGACTGTTTTGTTAAATTTAAACCCTGATCAATAATCTTTTGAATAACTTTGTGTTGTCTAGGTGATTCAGGTCATCAGTGCAAGAGACCAGGATCTCCCTCAAGCCGGACAAAGATTTTCCTTCAAATCCCCTCAAGAGGGAGTGAAGACCAAAAACTTCACCATCAGAGACTTTGGAAGTGAGTCTGTTTGTTATTTCTTAGCCAAGTGATTTATTTGTAGAGAGAAAGAGAAAAAAAATAGAGAGAGAGGGAACTTATACTACTACTACTAATAATAATAATAATTGTATATGTTGTTTTTTTATTCTTTGATGAATAAAAAAATTAATAGAACAACATTTATTCAAAACAGAAATACTTTTTTTACAATGTAAGTCTTTACTATCATTTTTTAAATCAATTTAACATACCCTTGCTGAATAATTATTTTATTAATTATTATATTACTTTATTTAAAAATAAGGTAGCTACTGACCCCGAACTTTTGAACGGTAGTGTATATATATTGCATATATATTGCTCTTTGTGCATGCAATGGTTTAATTAATGGAAAAGCCATGGAACTGTGTTTTACATATAGTTTTTTATTTTCCATCACAGCTATTCTGCCACTACACTGAACAGCTTTCACAGCACATTCTGTATACATCCACTGTTTTGGCCTTATTGAACGCCTGTCCTCACTTCAGGCATGAATGCTCGCTTAAGATGTGATTTACTGGGACAAGGTGACAGTTTCTGCTGAGGGCAGTTCAGGAAAAAGAGAAGAAACAGGTTACCTGTAACATGCAAGATTTTCTTGAAAATGCTCACCCGTCAAGAAAATGCAGCCAGCATAAAGTCACAGCGACAGGGTCAGATGGGCTAATCAGAGTTCATAACCAGCAACTTGCAGCAGCCATGATGCCAACAAAGTCTTTTGACAACATGTCATTTCTCTGAACGCTAATACACCAGCTACATCACACTAATTGTATAAAACATGAACAGCTACATTGTTTATTGCCATTTAACCTTTTATGGCTGGAGGACAAGACAAGCTCTTGTGAAAACCAAAACTGTTTACTTATTCGTTTTAGGACAGAAAGTCAAATTTTTAGACATAGTAGCTGCACTTTTCACAAGATGACTGCACAATGATGCTGTTATAGGATATACATTACCTTATTTTCATAAGGTGTTGCTGCATTAATCATAATGCTCTCTGTCCTCTGAATCTGTTGTAATATGAATCAGTTTGTTCCTTTCGTTCAGACTCTTGTCATAAGCCCTTTATGCCACTTATAGCTTTCTTGTAGTAAAATATTTAGTTACATTCTGATAGATTTTGTTGTCTCTAGTTGCGTTAGTTATATTTAGATTAGAAGCATCATAATGTCAGATTTGGTTGTAATAGTGTTTGGAACTGAGTCAGAGAGATGAAGTAGCCTTCAGAAAGTTTTAAAATCTCAGTTGACCAGAAGAGGAAAGTAGTGTTACTGTAGGTCAGAAGGTATGATGTGAAAGTGCTTTTCTACCTCCTGAAATCATTTCAGATGAATGTTCAGGCTCAAACACTCTCCGCACAGAGAAAAGGCATATTATTTAGAGCCCTGAGGGGGATTCGGCACTCAGCTGTAGTGTGATGTTCCTGTTGAACTAGACTCAGAGCACACTAAACACTGGATAGTTTGTTCACTATGAAAAATCATGTAAGATCTTCTTGTGATGCACAATATCATTTGCAATGAAGGATGCAGCGGTTACTCCAAATCAATAACGCTACCTTATAATGACACAAGCACCCTTCCTGTGGAGCTCTAGGGCTGTTAACAAAGTCATCAAACAATCAATAGCTCTCTGCTAGTTTGTAAGCAAATTCAAATTGTGATTTTGTCTTTTGGGGTATGATATAGACATAAAGTTTAATAAAAAGGAAAATGTGTAGTTAAAGTAATCTCTTAAAAGGAAAATGTTAGCCTTGTCACTTGCCATGCCTAATCACACTCTCTCTAATAATAATACTATTAATAATACTAATAATATATATATATATATATATATCTTAAA